TTCACCAGGGCTTGAAATTGAATTAAGTCCAATTATACAAAAGGAGGTTACATTTCTTAGGCACAGGACCTGAGTGCTGTACTCTCTCTTACTACACAGTCTCCTATTCATTCTGACACTGGCCCTCGAGATCATTGGTATAAAAGGGGTTAGCAAACTACTGCTAGGTCCGTGGACCAAATCCCTGTTTTTGTACGTGTGTTTTTAAAAAATTTCTGCCTATGTTTTGTCAGCTAAGTAAAACCACAGCCATGCCCCCTTTTTTTGGGCATGGCTGTGTTTGCAGAGATGCATAATTGCAAAAGAGACCACTATGGTGCAAAGCCTACAACATTTACTACCTGTCTCTACAAAAAAAAAAAAAAAAAAAAATGGCCAACCCCTGGAGTAGACCATGGGCTCTGGCTGGCTCCACATCATGTCCTTATTTGCACTCTGGTCCTTTGGCTGCCACCAGGGGGGCAAAGTCTCAAATCAAAATCAATTAAAAAGCTCTGCCTCCTTTCTCTGCTCTTAAAACTGTATCTATTTCAGATCCAACTTTTTCTTCCCGAACTCCCCCAAGCATTGATCTCTTTCAACCACCTTTCAGTCCCCTTCCTTCTCTCCTGTGACCCTGCACTTCTCTTGTAGCCTCTCATTCCATTCCATTCCGTTCCATTCCATTCCATTCCATTCCATTCCATTCCATTCCATTCCACTCGTTTCCTATTCTATCAATAGAAGGTAGACTTCTATTCTATATCCTTTATGGGCATCTCCTCCCTTGCCTGCCTTAGAGCCCGTGTTTCTTAGGTTTATCCTCAGCACACTGGTCTCACACTATTCACCCTGCCACACCCCTGAGTTCTCAGGTGGACCAGGTTTCACCACAGCTTTCACCTGTAAGAGGTGAGCCAACCCAGGTTACTGACTTTAGAGACTCTTGTCCTTGGCGTGGGTAATACCAATACCTTAACACCTAAGTGAGCTCTTGATGTTCTTCCTTTGGTCACTGAATTAGTCAATATTAGCCTTGACTAAATAGCGGAAAGAGGAGAATGATCACTCAGTGGGCAAGCAATAAAACGCATCATAACCCGGTGGTCAATAATAGAGGCTCTAGAATTAGATCTATAAACTGTCCATTTGAAGCTCCGCCCCTTATTAAGAAGCCTTGAGTAACCTCTTGTGCCTCACTTTCTTCATCTATAAAATGGAGATAAGGTATTAGCGCTTTTACTCCTAAAGTATAGTAAATACATCACATAAGCTATTAGCACTGGCCTCCAAATCTCAGCTTCTTTTTGAAGCGATACGCTTATTCTTCACCTTTAAAATAGGCACAGTGACTGCAAGGGCCTGAGAAAGTGTCTGTAGACCTGGCATGTCATTGGCACTGAAATTTGTAGGTTCATATTTATAATGGGATTTTCAGAATGCATGTCCTTTTCTATTCTTTTCCAAGCACGAACCTTAGACTTTGTGTGTTTCCAGTCAACATTTTTATCCATTGAATTTTCCTCTGGATGGCTGGAGAGCAGCATCCCCACCTTTGAGAATTTCACAATAGCAATGCACAACCAAGCTGCTTAGCCAGATGAGTCAACTCAGGTGGCTTTTAGGTATGATTTACGTAAGTAGTTCTCAAACTTTAGCAAGGAGGGCTTGTTAAGTCACAGAATTCCCAGAAATTCTGAGTTAGTCGGTCTGGGGCAGGGTCCTCAAATTTGCATTTCCCACAACTTCCCAAGTGATGTTGAACTGATACTTTGAGTAGCACTGGTCCACACAGACAAGGTGGACAGGCTTTTGGAAATAAGTCAATATCAAATGGAAAAAGTCTTGCCAAACTGACAATGGGTTGGGCATCAACCTTTATCAAGATAAGCAGAAAATAGTCACACACCAGTATACTCAATGTTAATAGAGTCTAAGACCATAAAACAATAACAATAGACATTTATTGATTTGGGGCTATGTGCCAGATTTTTTTTTAAAAGTCCTTTGCACATAATAAATTTATTTTTATAGTTTTATTTTCTGAATGTCTTTAAAAATTAATAACAGCATTCTCTGGATCATCCCTATGACCATCTTATACTGCCATACAAACTAAATGCCCTCATTTATGTTTGTGTCCATGATCTTATTAACAGCAAGAGACATGATTTATTTGTCAAGAGCTAGGAGAAAGTGCAAAAGGTAAACTTAATATGCACAGATGTCCTCAGCTTATGGGTAGCCAGATGGAGCCCTAGATGAACCACAGTTTGGATGATCAGTCGTTTGAACAAAGACAAGCAGCAGGGAACTGAGGCCTCACATGACTTGTGGCATAGGCATACCACACTCAAAAGAACCTGTGCTTT